CTAGTTTGTGAAATAAAATAAGGATACCACAAGAAAGGGGCCCACAGATTCAACTAACCAGGCTTCATAGACGTAACAATCAAGGAACCTGCATTGGTTTGTCCTAGGGCATATATGTTATGGTTGTGTAGCTTGGTGTTCTTGTGGGACTACTAACAGTGGCAACAGGACCTGTCTCTGACTCTTTCGATTCCTTTTGAGACCCTTTTCCTCCTCCTGGGTTGCCTCAACCAGCCTTAATATGAGAGGATGTGCCTAGTCTGATTATAACTTCATATGCTATGTTTAGTTGATATCCCTAGGAAACCTGCCCTTTTCTAAAGGAGATGGATCTGGGGTACAGGGGAGGTTTTGGGGGAAGGAACTGGGAGGAGAGGAGAGAGGGGAAATCGTGCCAGGATGTAGTATATCAGATGAATTAAAAAAAAATGTGTAAAGAAAGGTAAAGCTGACAGTGTATTATAAACAACAAAAACTTCAAATTAATGTACAGATTAACCATAACAACGTTGTGTGTGTGTGTGTGTGTGTGTGTGTGTGTGTGTGTGTGTGTGTGTGTGTGTGTGTGTTTAACCACATTACTTTTGTGTGGTTGTGTGTATAGTATACTCAGGTGTACACATATAGAAACCATTCTATACTGACAATTCACATGATTCCAGTCAGGTAGAGCAACACCACTTTTAAATACTTGACAAGAGAAAATTTATTGGGTTCACCCTTGCATCAGTGTGAGTAACACTACAACAGTCCGGAGTTATCTTGCCCCACCTGGGTACTTCTGCTGAGCTGCCTACAAAGTTGAGAAATAATTTCTAGATTCCTAATCCCAGAGGAACTCTGAGAAAAATCATTGTTGAACATTTTACAAAGGCAAATATGAAACCACAAGACAGTTAAGTCTCCAGTCAGCCTACTGGTGAAGCAATCAGAATTTCAACATTTTTCAGCCAGTTTGCATTCTACGGCATGTCTGTGGGCTGATGGCATGGCTCAGTGGGAAAGGGTACTTGCCACCAAGCCTGATGACCTGAGTTGTATCCCTGTAACCCATACGGTGGAGAGAGCCAGCTCCCAAAAGTTGTCCTGTGACTACCACATGTGAAATAGCATACCCTTACATATTAAATTAGAGTGTTTATAAGACATGTTGAGGTAAACTGGAGGGGACATAGTGAGAAATGCATTGTATTTCCCTTAAATTACAAAATCTAGAATAGAAAAAGTATTAGAAAAAATTACATATCAAATATTCAAAGGTACACACTTTCCTAATATTCTAAAAGCATACTGATAAGCATAATCAGATGGCAATACTTAAAATTATATTTATTGTGGGTATGTGTGTATGCCATGACACACATGTGGAAGGCAGAGGACGACTTCATGGAGTTGCTCTTCCTCTACCATCGGTAGCAGGGATTGAGCTAAAGTTATCAGTCCCTTAAGCCATTCATCCATCTCTTGGTGTTGGGTAGCAATTTTTTTCTTTAACTACCTTTATCTTGTGAAAGTCAGAGATTGGATCCAAGGTCTCACATATGCTAGGCAAATGCTTTATCACTGAGCTACACTCCCAACCTATGTGATAAATTTACATTTACAGTCATTCAACAATTATTACATGTGAAAATCAATGGCTTTTCTTTCATTGATAAACGGAAACACTTAAGTTCTTATTGCAGATGCACTTTTGGAATAAACAGGGCTATCAGTCTGGATGTCTCCATGTCAGCTGCAAAGGTTCTAGTTATGGTCTGGAGCTGAATTCACAAGAACCCAATGCCTCTCACCTCCCACTCACCTCTCAAAAGGGCTGTGTGCTGGGCTCCATGGTACTTGGAACCTACATTTTCCTAAAGGCTCCACTGGACTCTTGTCACTTGGATAGTGATGACATTTGCAGGAAGCCAGGTCCTCAGACACCTGCTAGATCTTGCTCAGCCTTTCTAGGGAAGCAGTAGCTTCCAGGTGCCATCACTATCAGAAGAAAACTAGGACCACCAAGGCAGGCTGAAGGTATGACTGAAAGCTAGATATATTTATGTAAAATTCTACTATGCAAACCCTAGTTGGCTCAGGCCCCTACTTCATGTGTTACATGCCACTCCTTGCCCAGTCTACTTGAAGGAAGCAGCTTTCTCAAGGGCTTACATGCCTGAACCCCAGCCCAGCTGCTCTGAAAGGCTCAGTGATCAGTATCTCAAGGAATATTTATAGCACAGGTGCAACATGAGGTCACAAGAACCATGAATGCTCCTGCTTGGAAGATCACCATCTGGTCTGTCCCACAACTTAATGGCTGTTGGCACTCCTGGTCAGAGTTAGGGACCTCTGTGCTTGCATCTGTTCTACTTGCTTTCCTCCCCAAGTCCCCCAAGGAGGTAATAGATAGGTCAAGTGGATGCTGTACTCCACATGACCTGTAATAAGCTCATGCTTAGGAAACTACCAGAAATACATGAAGAGCTATTCTACCAGTCAGCTTGACTGACAACTTTTGTCTGTGGAGAGACAATAATCTTTATTATTCAAAGCAAATCCTTCCAGAGTCTGATGTAAACTTTTCACATGGTATGTAGAAATGCCATGGAAAATTGCCCAAACAAACCAGTTGGCTCTGTGGCAACTGGCTGGGAAACCCTGCTTTCCCAACCAGAGAGGGAGTAAAACCCCGAAGGCTGACAAGTTGCTGTGTTGATGGCTCAGGGCCAGCCACACCCCTCCAGCTTGCTGGCAGGGCCAGTGCACAGTACAAGGTTGTCTAGGACTTGCTGGCCATGTCCAACACCCACAATTCTAAGATGGGGAATATAAGTACATTTATATCAACAAGGACTCACTGTTACTATAGCAACAAATGCCTGGGCTTTGCAATTTAGTGACTTAAACCTGAATTTGGTGTTTTTAATGTAGTTCTTCAGTCACAGAAAGACAGATTCTTTAATTCTAAATCCCCAAGATTAAGTACAGCTGAGATTGCAGAAGTGAAGATCATGCGTCCTCTTTCTGGTCTCAAAAGGTTTCTGATCCCCATGGAAGCTGAAGTGTTTTACAAAGAACCAGCAGATGACAGAGCCAAAGTAATGGCATACTTAGCCTGGTGGCTTGGGACACACACAGCTTAGGCCGAGGCCTCCTTGTTGTGCTACTTGTAGTTATGAAATAGTGTCATGATAAAAGCCTAAGAGTTAGACACCTCTGGCTCAAATCTCAGCTCTTATCTCTGTTAGCGTAACTGAGCAACTCAGCCATAGTTTATCACCATCAAGTAGGACTTCAAGCATAACGGGTTTGTTGAGAAAACAAGCTGCTGCATGCAGAGAACTGTTGTCTGTTACAAAGCCTGAGTTCTGGGTACATGGAACCCTTACTAAGGTGAGCTCTCTATTTTATTTTTAAGAAAATATTGTTTATATGTATTTGCCTGGACATATGTATGTGTATGCACTACCTGAGTGCCTGGTACTGCGGGAGCCAGAAGAGGCTGTTGGCTCTCCTAAAACTGGAGTTATAGACAGTTGTAAGCCAGCATGTGAGAGCTGGGTCATAAAACTGTGTCCTCTACAAGAACATACAAATGCTGTTAATCATTAAACTATCCAGCTTCTTATTTTAAGAATTTTTGTGGTGTTGGGGATTGAACCTAGGTCCTAGTGCACACTAGTTAAGTGTGGAACTCCATTTCAAATCATATTCCTAAACTCAGTTTGATGCTCATGCCTGAGTTCCAGCACTTTGGCAGGAGGATCACAAGTTTAAGGCTAGCCAGGGCTACAGGACTGTGCCTTAAAATACAAACAAAAAATCATATTCCTAAATATTAAGCAGGTGGGATGCTTTCTATGTTTTGGATCCAATCTGGGTTTTAATATCCCTGGCCTTTAACCAGGGGAAATGATTGTCAACATTTTGGCTAATTTCCTCTCAGCCATCACTCACTTTCTATTTTAGCTATATAGTTGTATGTAAACAGCTGTATAAATAAGTTTTGACTACATACACTGTCTACAAACTGCTTCACCACTTAACAATGGTACTGAAATTTCAATGCCAGTTATTCCAAGTCATTGGCTTATCCTAAATAAGCAGTCTGTAGCAATCAGAATGTCTCATATTATGCTACCAAGGCCTACTGCAAGTCATGGGTTAGTTTTATCTCATTTCATTCTGTTGGGGAAGTCCTGTGTATATGTCAATAAAGCACTGTCTGGCCAATAGGAATCTAGATAGGTGGGGCTAGGAATCCAGGAGGATTCTGGGAAGGAGAAACACAAGAGAGTCAAGATGTAATGCCATGGGGGTAGGAAGCCCGGAACTATTCTCCGGTAAGAGAAATACTTAGATTAACAATTATGGGGTAATTACTTAAGTCAGAGCTAGCCAGTAAGAAACAAGCAAGGCCAACAGCTTCATAATGAATATAGCCTCCTGTGTGTTTATTTGGGACTGATGCGGCTCTAGAACCAGGCAGGCAGGAAGGCTTCACTCAAGGAAAAGGTTTCCATTAACATCATTCTTACGAAAGAGAGGGTCAAAATTGTAATCTTTTTTCCCATTAATTGAATCTTACTCTGTTTTTATTATTTTGGTGATTAGAGCCCCCATGTATCTCAGGCTGGCCCTTAACTTCTGATTCTTCTGCTGACCTCTCAACTTCAGATTATAGCCATGGACCAGCACATGCCCACCTTAGAATCTTACTGTAATACAAACCCTCTAGTGAATTCCTGTTCCTTTTCTAAAACAATCCTACAGATGCCGACATTGTAGAAGCACCTATGTGGAGTCTCCGGGGAAAAGCTGTGTTTGCATACCTGCAAACTGGGTCGGCACGACTAGGTTAAGAGATAAGTATTAGTCATGACAGATTGTGACCATTTAAGTCATATGTTTAGTAACCTACTTGCATAACCCTTGTTGTTTAATCTAGATATTATGTTCAGCTTTATCTCTTGATAATGACCCCCACCCTCAAAGCAACACAGGCACACACCCAGTCAGCATGCATGAGTGCTGACATGACTGCCAGTGACTGTTTATTGAGCATCATGATACACCTGAGACTGTACAAAATTAAATGGATACAGTCTGGCACAAACAGCATACATTTCACTGCCAATTGTGAAAGTTAGAAAGATGAACAAGTTCTGTAAGCATTTTCATAAATAGATTGATTTCTGAAAAATTTAATAAGTTTATTATATGAAAAGTTAAAAAAATATGTTGATTAGAAGGAAAAATGAAAAACTATTAAATGAATTATACATTCAGGAATTTAGTTTGTGTAGAGATCGTAAACTCCAGTTTTTAAAGCTAGAAACTTCCTGGGGTTACTGGAAGGTAATATAATTAGGAAAAAGAGAACACTTTTATTCTTTAAAAAAATACTGTGATTATTTTGTAGCCCTCTCAAATACTATTTCCAGAGTCAAAGGTCTATTTATTGTCCATTAAAATAAGTGTCAGTTGTCCATCTCAGAAACCCCAGCCAAGCATAGTGATATCGCATTGCTGTTACTAACAGCAAAGGTGGATGACGTGCTGATTCTAATAGAGAACTAAGGGAAACATAAATATGTAGATAAAAAAGAAAAGGTGCATAAAGGTATACAGTAATCACACAGGCCACTGGATTTAACACCAGCAAAGAACCTTGATACATTCCATAGAGGTCAGGGTTGCCCCTTCCCCAATGTCAAAGTGAAATGAACTGGCGAATTCTACATGGCGTGGGTCCCTTAAAGAATTGATCTGTAAATAGGACTGATGATGATAAAAACAAACAACAAAACCAGTCTGTAAACGGCAGACACACTGAGGACAATCTTACAACTGAACGGCAACAGGCCTTGAGTCTTAGCCTGTGGAAGGAGATCAGACACGCCAGAGAACATATCTTCAGTATGTCCTATAGGCCATGTGTGCTCACCAGCCTATACAAGGGTCTGGGCAATCCCGCAGGTAACTTTCAAATTGACCTTTCGTGACATCAATCAAGGTTGTGAATACAGTCAGCTGAAAAGAAAAAGTTATTTTTATTTTAAAGATATTTTCAAGTCTGAGATTTTCTTGAACATATTAGCATTTGTGTCCTTCAAAGAAATTGCTTTATGGTGATACTTGGTAATGAGGGAACAGTTAACCCTCTCCAGTGGATAGCCAGCATACATACAAAGCCCAAGGGTGCACTAGGGCACAGACCAGTTTGGCTTTGCCTGTGCTTCTTCTCAGTGCAGTTCCATTACAGTAAGGACACTGTAGGCACACGGGGTACAAAGCACAACCCAAACCCTTGGGGTCCTGCACACACATGCAATGAGCTGTGAAGCCACATGGAGATTCTGTGCAAAGGAGAAAGATGATAGCTTGGCTGAGATGAATCAAAAAGGGCACGCCCTGGTTCCAAATGCTAAAGGGAAGGAGGACTTTGTTCTGGCAGGGGTAATGCAGGCTGTTTATCTTAGGGAGCCTCAGACAAGAACAAAGAAAATGGGATAGTCTAAGGCAGTATATCCAGAATGTATCTCTGTACAAAGAATGACTATAAGCAAATGGGATGTTTAGGATTCTCAGTTACAGTGAAGGGGGCATTAAAGTTGAAACAACATTGACAGTGTTGCCAAGTGAACAACGAATGCCCTTACTGTAGTTGTAGGCACACGAAAATAGTTTTCAAGAATCAGACCTTAAGGCTGAGTGGGATGATGCCTGTCTGTAATCCCTGAACTCACAGGGCTAAGGACTGTGCACATCTGAGGCCAGTCTGGGCTACAGAGTTAGTTCTAGGCCTGCCTGGGATACAGAGAAACACTGTCTTGAAAAATGACTCAATGAATGAATAAATAATGAACTTGAAGTTGGACATAACTAATATGCCCAAAATGATCTAAAGTAACAGAGAAAGACAAAACATATAAGCACATTCTTCCCCGAAAGCAGGATGTGTGTTTATAAATACCTTGTTGAGGACAGGCTTTGTTGATAGGACGTCATATATGGTTGCAAACGAGAGATTCTAAGACACAAAAACAATTGTGTTCAATAGATTAAAGACAGACTTTCAGTTACATTTATCCATGCAAATTGGCCACCAGAAATTGAAATATTTTTCAGTCTTCCTAAGGTATCTCCTCTGGAGTCACCGCAGGAAACAAAGGTGACAGTTCTCATGTATCACTTCTTTCTCTCTCCTCCCCTATTGTAATTTATTTCAAAATTTGTTATCTCACTTTATAGAATGGTAGCTGGCATTAGTGTAAGGAAGGAAAATTACAGCAAGAATTTGCTCCTTAAGTTGAACAGCAAAAGCTCTGTGAGGTTTGTCTAGAGAGACTCAGGTTTACAGATTCTTTGAGGTCAAAGAAAACACTAGAACTAAGATCATCCATAATGGGGACAGTGTCTTTCTGTATGTGACAGTGCAACTGTACCTTCTGTGTCGTGCGATTTAGACACATCTTGGCAGGTGTTCTGCGGTCATCCAGGAACAAGGTGTTTTTCCACCGGTCATAATTGGTTTGTACCACATACCATCTGCCATGCTTAGGATCGAGTCTAGAGACAGAAAGAGTTTCCCTCTTAGGTTTCATGTGTACATGGGTTTTTGTTTTGTTTTGTTTTGTTACTTATTTTATCAAATGTACTCACTCATATACATCCAAAGACTCTTTTCTTTCTCTCGTAATCACACAACCTTCCCCAGACTTGTTGCCTCCCAGGATAAAGTATGCTGGAGCCATTATCTTGGTCTTGATCAGTGTATTCTTGGCTTCTTCATAACTATACAGAAAAAGTTTGAAAAGTGAGCATTTTTAGTTGATTTTGAATGATGTATTTTAGTTGTAGGAACTAAAGGGAAACAGGTATGTGAGGCCCCTTAATAGAGTTACTTAACTGAATGTGGACACACACAGTTGGCAACAGTAAAGGCTTTCTGAATGAGCAATGACCAAACATTAGTTGTCAATCACATAAATGTGAACTGACTCAGAGGCATTTCTGGGAGTGCTCTCCCAAGCTGCATTTGCAGCTTCCATGCAGCCTTGGTTCTGAAAGTGCTTCATACTGCCCTGGCTCTAGCTTCTAGAACATCTCATTTTAAAAATTACTATCTGAGTTGCCAGTGAATTTCATTTAAAAACTGAAATGAAATTTGGCTTGGGATTATGACAGAACTTCCAAAATGCCCCTAAATATATTTCTGCCATTTCATACTATGTCAAGTAGCATTCTGAATGTTGACAATCAATTCTGAAAAATGAAGATGCTTTACAACCTGTGGTAACAAATATTCAGTCAGGATTTAATTCTTCATATAAACAAGTACATCCCATGTCGTCAGTATGCACATTTGCTTTTGTCTTTAATGAAGGGTAAAATCCTATATATACCAAAGAACTGTTAAATTTATTTACAGTAAATATTTGGTCTGTATACATATTTTATATACCTATATCTTTGGCATCAGATAAAGCAGTTTTAGACAAAGGGGGGCTGAATGGGAGAAGGTGAGGAAGCCTGTGGTTAAGGAACATGCTTGTGGATTACGCTGGTGAGCAATTAGGGTAATGGGAGGATCAATGTGAAAATTTTAGGATGACCCTAATTTGAAGGAGATATCAAATGTCATCCTCTAGCCTTTCTCTATGCCTTTTATCCCACAAAAGAATGGGAAACATAGTCAGTGCCGGGGAGGGGCTGGGGCAGTAGGTCAGTTTGCAGAGTCCTTGACAACATGCACAAAACCCTGTTTCATTCCGCAGCACCATATAAACTGGGCATGGTGGTATGCCTGCTAATGCTAGCACCTAGGAAGTAGAGGCCAGAGGATCACGTGTACATAGTGAACTCACTGGCTACACAGTGACTTTGAGACCAGCCCAGAATGTATTAGATTCTGCCTCAGGAAAACAAAAAAAGCACGTGCACACAAAAATCCCTACAAGATTTGGGGAACAGAAAGTTAACTTTGGAAATGAAGACTATTAAGAACATTAAATGGTAATAAAGAAGATAACCAAACCAACTTCTATTCCCTTGAAAGTGTTAAAAAGTAAGATTGATTCTCATTTTGTTCAAGTCAAATGAACATAATATGTGCTAAAAAAATTTGGTATTTCGGCACTACAACAGACTATAACTTAGGTTAATATGTATTAACAATTTATGTATGTTTCTGTGCTAAGAAACTGAATACAGATTTTACTGTATAGCATTTCCTATGCACATAGTATGATTTTTTTTCTATAGCAAAAGCTTAGATATCTTTCCTAGTGTCAGTATCTAATACTAATACTAATAATTCATTTCATTGCTCTACTATGACAGCACAGAACACACAGAAAACAGGAATAATTCCATGTGAATGTCAAAGAATCTCTTAAGAAATACAGTTCCTCAATGGATGTGAAGCTAGGTCTTGGCAAATATTTCTGTATTTTAATATGAGTTATTTAATATGAGATATTTGATAATAACTTCACCTTGTACTATTTTCCAGAACTGATCTAGTGATAAACCCGACCCATTCAGCATCTTTCTTTCCCAAAATCCATTCTAGGATACCTGGAAGACATGAAATGCAGACAGTGTCAGAGAACCAGGAGGAGGTTAGATTATTGCCCTTCCTTACAAACACTGAGATTCCCATTGCATCTCCAGACAGTCCACTCACCTAAATAACCGCCATTTAGACTGAAACGTTCATTTAGTGTAAGACTAAACAGTCCCTGAGAAAAAGACAAAACAATGCAGTCAGAAATATCAGTGTGATTTCCGGGAAAGGGGAATGGGACAGGATCGCCTCAGTGGATTATGGGGGGAGGGAGCAGGATGAAAGATACCATAATAGAGGGAGCCATTACAGGTTTGAGGAGAGATCGGGCACTAGTGAGATTTCCAGAGATCTACAAGGATGACACCAACTGGCAATCTATGCAATAGTGGAGAGGCTATCTTAAATGCCCTTCCCCAATAAATGAGATTGATGACTACCTTGTATGCTATCCTAGAGCCTTCATCCAGTGGCTGATGGAAGCAGAGGCAGACACCCACAGTTCAACACTGAATTGAACTCCTGGAACCCAGTTGCAGAGAGGGAGGAGTGATGAGCAAAAGGGTCAAGACTGGGCTGGTGAAACCCACAGAAACAGCTGACTTGAACAACAGGGAGCTCATGGACCCTAGACTGATGGCTGAGAGGCCAGCGTGGGACTGATCCAGATCCCCTGAACACGGATGTCAGTGAGGAGGCCTTGGCAATCTGTGGGGCCTCGGGTAGTGGATCAGTATCCCTAGTACACTAATGGACTTGGGAGCCCACTCCACATAGAGGGATACTCTCTCAGCCTAGACACATGGGGGAGGGCCTAGGCCCTGCTCCAAATGATATGACAGACTTTGAAGATCCCTCATGGAGGGCCTCACCTTCCCTGGGGAGCAGAGGGGGGATGGGGAGGGAGGTTGGTGAGGGTGGGAGAGGAGGGGAGGGAGAGGAAGCTGGGATTGACATGTAAAACAAGCTTGTTTCTAATTTAAATTAAAAAATAAATAAATATCAGCACACTCTTAAAGGCCTTGTCTCTGTACCAGGGCAGTGGTATAAAAAGACCTGAACTGGGTGCCAGAGAAAGGAACGAGAAATCAAAACCACAGTAACATTAGAAACCCTTCTAAGTTCAAAACATTTCACATGCTGTGTGAGATGAGTTAGGTGGGAAAGTACTGTCAATGAAACAAGGGACACCTAAGTAAACAGCGGACCCAGGCCAGACCCCACTTTTACTTTGAGACTTTGCCGGCCAGCCACAAGCTCTATCTTCAATGGGCACAGAAACCATTTCATTTCTCTTTTGTGGTGTTGGGTCAAATATTGACAAAGGTGATAAGGATGAGGGAGCAAAATAGGGCTTCAAATTCTTTTTGTCTGTCTGTCTGGGACAGGGTCTCCCTATGTAGTCCTGGCTGGCCTGGAATTCTCTATGTAGAGCAGACTGGCCTTGAACTCAACACCATCTGCCTTCTTAGGACTGAGGGAGTGTGCCACCATGCTTTCCTTCATAGTCTTTAAGTGTCCTCAATTTCTGAGACTCCCAGACAGTAAAAGCAAGACACAGAACTACTTAGAAAATTATAACATGTCTTACTGGTTTGAACCCTGTCAACATGCCCACATATCCAACGAAACTTGTAGCCTTGAAAACAGTCTTGTTGTTTCTTTGGAAGTCCAAATTCACTGTTAAAGGCTTTAATTGTTCTGTAACAACCCAAGTGTTGTTATTTATATTCCACCTAAAAAAGAGAAATAAACGTTGGTGACATTAGAGACAAAGAAGGAGGTGAGAGGAAGCATGACATAGATGCTGATGTTGTGTGTTTGTAACTGGATCTTGCTATGGAGTCCAACATGACTTCATACTTGCAGTCCTCCTACCTCAACCTTCCAAGGGCTACAATTACAGGCCTGAGATTCCATGTCTGGCTTATAGGTGCTTTTTCTGACTGGTCACTTAGGATCCACTTTTTTAATAAGATCTTTATGAGTGTGCTATGGTTTGAATCTGAAATGTCTGTCAAAGGGCTCATGTACTAATGGTCCAGTCCCCAGTGCACCAATGTTCAGAGGTGAGGCTTTAATAGGAGTAATAGGATTAATCCACAGATGGGTGACAGTCTGAGAGATTACTGGGAGACATTACAAACTTAGGAAGTGGGTCCTATAACAAGGAAGCAGGGCTCTGAATGTATACCCTTGGGGGCTATATTTTGTCTTTAATGCATTCCTCACTTGAGGTGAGCAGCCTCCTCCAATACCTGCTCCTGCAACATGATACTCTGCCTTACCAGCCTAAAAACAGAAGAACCAGTTGATCATGGACTGAAACCTCTGAACTGTGAGCCAGAAAAATAGGGTCATTCCATCCCTTTTCCAGGTGTAAAACTGAGGCTCAGAAAAGTTGATTAACTCTGGTTACATAACTAGTGAGACCCAGATTCAAAGGAAGACCTCTAATTACAAAGCCAATTTTTTTCATAAAGGTCAAGATGAAAGATTTCTCTAAGCAATAAATGAACCATAAGCACCTGTGCCCTTCAAGCATGGTCCCAATTTCTTCTCAGTAGGTGTAACTTCTGAGATATGACTCGTAAGTAACTGGGAAGTCCGCCCAGTGTTCCTGCCTTTCCAACACTAAGGACCTTGAGAGCTTGTTTGGAGGTTCTAGCAGGGGAGCGCAGCTACTCGTATACCCTTGACTGAAGACAGGTCCTCCTCTATTAGGGGAAGGTCAACCTCTTCGACCGAGCGTGCAGCTTCGGGAGGGACGCACATGGAGGTGAGGGAGGAAGGGGACACCCATCTAGCCAGCCAGATCAGCCGAATAAGCCTGGCGATCAATGGGGTGACATGTCACAGCCAGATCGCCCTCACATCCCTTCCCAACATCTTCACCTATGGCCATCTTCTGCATATGAGGGGAGACTTGCTTTTCATTGAGGTATTACTATAGTCTACACTTCTTATGGAGTGAAAGTATGTCAAGTTACTTACTCACCCAAGAAATATTCCAAAATCCATGTTTCTTCCATGTAGTAAATGACCTATTAGGAGGAAGTGGCAGAGACATTTATCCACAGTTCAAGTACAATGGATTCTTAATCACTGATGGACAGACAGATATGACTATTTATTCACAACTGTATCACCTAGCAATATATAATAAGAATCCTGGCAGCCAGAATAAGTCTTAACAAGTTCAAACTAGTGTCACTATCACATTGGGACAGTAACAACTGGCATCTGGAGACTCCATAAAATCAGCTATGGAGGCCAATCCTTATTCCTTGAACAACTACAGTTCTACCAAGACAAAGGTATCTTAACCTCTATTAATGTGACTTACCCAATTCCTTAATTGCCACTTATAGAGGGCTATCTCAAGTATTACTTGTAGGTCAAAAGTCAGAGTGAATGAAGGGCAAGTCACCTCATGCCATAGATCTTGGGGACCAGCCAGGAAAGTGAGGCTCCCATACACAGTGCTTGTTGACTGGGAAATTATGAGAGGATGTTTGTGCTGGGTCTCCAGAAACAAATCTGTCACTGCCCGTGGTGGTTTGAATAAGAATGGTCCCCACACGCCCATATATTTGGATGCTTTGTCATCAGGGAATGGCACAAGTCTGATTTAAAGTTGAATGAGCATCCCAGTTGTCTTCAGGCTTACAAAAATTTACTAAGATAAGCTAAAGTATATACAACATACACACAATTTAAATGGCAAGCCTCGTTAGTAAATGTTCTAATTCTAGTCTAAAAAAGCTTTATTCTATGCTTTGCTCTGCACTGTCATGTTCCCTTAGCAAAGATTACCTTCATTATCTTCGGTTATTATTGATGTACACATGGTAAACAATTCATAGAAAATGTTGAATGAAATAATCTCTCCTGTGAAAAAAAGGAAAATTTTTGTTAATAACCATGCAGTATAAGGAAAATGTCACTCCACTTTTAACCTTTGTTTGTTAAATGCTAACATGCTGGGATTAATATGCAGTTTTACCCCAATATATTTTGTTTTCAGTTAATTTGTTACTCCCCTTTTCTATAAAGATATTTGTATTTGGTAATTGCTTGTGAGGACTCTTTATATTTATATTAAGAATTTTTTATCATGTAAATGACAAGTGTGTATCTTCAGTATGTTTTCTTTTTCGTTTTGTTTTGTGTTTTGATGTTTGTTTGTTTTTTTTTTTCGAGACAATGTTTCTCTGTGTAACAGTCCCTAGCTGTCCTGGATCTAGCTCTGTAGACTAGGCTGGACTCAAACTCACAGAGATCCACCTGCCTCTGCCTCCTGAGTGCTGGGATTAAAAGTGTGTGCCATCACCACCTGACAGAATGTTTTTCAATGTTTAGAATGATGTTTTTATTTTATTTTTACTAATGTTGAAAGTACACACATTTTGAATAAATTTAACAAAAACTTTCTGATCAGCACAAATGCTAGAGATAAGAGCTTACTGTAAAATTCCATGACGTTAATTCATATTGAACAGTAAATGGATAACATTCTATCATCCTTTCTATAAAACAATAGCAAATTGAACAATCTAGGAAAATAAATCACCTAAAGCTATCTATGAGAACTGTAGACAGCATGATGTACTTTGAACTAAAATTGAGTTCCCTCTCTGCACAATATTATTTTAAAAATATTTCAGTATAAACAATCAAACAATGATTCCTCTAACACTTTCCAATAGAATATCAGTTGAGAGTATAAAAATGAAAACTTAAATTTAGAAATATTTCATCATTATTTTCAATAATAATCCTGAATTTGATCACCTAACAATTAATTCATTAACACAAGAAATGGGAGGACTAAGTCAGTTAACGCTGAGAGAATACTTTTACATTTATTTGTATGTGCACCTATTCACGTGTGCACATACAGGATGTGTGCACAGGCTGGCCGCTGTGCATGTGAGTCTGTCATGGTGCACATGTGGTGATGAGAAGAAAACATGGAAGTTGGTTCTTGCCTTCCACCATGTGGATCCCAGGAACCCAGAACTCGGGTTATAAGGCTTAGCAACAAGCCCTTTACCTGTCAATCCGTATTACCAGCCCTTTAAAAGAATCATTTAGCGAAGCAAAAGAAACAAAAGCAACAGAAATTTTCAGTCAATTCTCTTGTGAAAAGTACCACTGTTTACATAAAGTGGTGACTCTATTGCTTGTATTGCTTTTAGATTAGTGAGAAAAACCTTTTTCAATACATGATACAAACTGAAAACTGAAAGTAAAAATTTTCAAGAGCTGGCAAGGTTGTACATGCCCAGAATCCCATCACCCCATAAGGGGAAAAGGAGGCCAGCATGGCTACATAGCAATGAATATTTGCCTTGAAAAGGATAAAACAGCTGGGCAGTGGTGGTGCACACCTTTAATCCCAGTACTTGGGAGGCAGAGGCAAGCAGATCTCTGTGAGTTCCAGGTCAGCCTGGTCTACAAAGCTACACAAAGAAACCCTGTTTCAAAAAACAAAAAAACCCTAAGATGATAGAAATTAGTTGCCCAAAATATCACTACCTAAGAATAATTTAATGAGTAATATAGGAGACCTTTTCTCCCCAAACTTAAAAAAAAATTCCTTTGAGCAATCAATACCCAAACGAAGGCTGACTTGGACTCTATTCAAGGGTATATTAACTGCATTCAAAAGAGACATACTGTCGAGGTGGCAGGCTGTTATAAAGCATGGGGAATGCAGAAGGGCAACATAGACAAGAGAATGCTGAAGGAAGGCATAGGTGAAGAATTCCAGTGCTAAATGTCCCTACTGTACCGCTTCAGAAACAGACATCGTGTGACTGACACAAGACAAAGGGAATAAAAACAGAAACAAGTCCACAAGTGGAATCAGATACATGGGGTTGCCTGACTTACATCAAAGACAGCACTGTGATGTGTGGAGGGAAAGATTAACAATTTTAGTAAATGGTCCCTCATCCATTAGAAATACATGGAGAGACCCTGACTAGTGTTTTGCCCTTCCCCAAAATGGAGGAATAAAGCAAAGTCAAACTGAAAAAGAGTAACTCACCAGAGACATGCGGTGTCAATAGAGAAAATTCCATTTCTCATTCTATGCTTATCAATAAATCTGTTCATCTTAGGAATTGTCATGCAGAATTTACAAGGCTAAGTACATAGCTAGCTACCCCATGGCTCCAAAGTTCAATTCAAGAGAAATTAGTGTATATATCCATTAAAAAACATATAAGAATGTATGCACAAATACATCAATAATAGCCCCATTGTTAATATGCAAAATCTGAAAACAACCCAGACACTCAACAACCTGTACTGACAGGATTAAGAAAGAAGAGCAATTCAGTTGCTAGGTTTTATTTTTAACATGGTGAAAGCAGAACAGGGTTATTGCCTGTGAAGGACTAGAATTCCTTCACCTATGAGTGAGATGTGCATGCGTGGATGCATACGTCACCCTCAATGAGCTGTTTAAACCTAGAATTTGTGCATTTCACTGCATATAGTACATCAGACTTCAGATACGCCAGTGTTTTATCAAATGTTTTCAGCATTGCAAGGTGAAATTTACCTAAAGGAATCCCAGTAACATCTGCAATTCCTTTCATTTCCTCTTCAAAGGGGTCAGGAATCTTGCCAAGTAGACCAGGCTAAAAAGAAAGACATGAATGACCATTGAACTTAAAACCCATGCTTCGTGAGCTGGTTCTCCGACTACAACTTTTTAGGTACTGTTAATGCCATAAGTAGTATGTTATTTTTAATGCATTTTACATCCTGGATTTCTAAAAGATTCTATATAATGATCAGTGTTGGACTCCTATGGAAACCTGTGATTCTTAGATTCTGTTTTCCTACTGATCTTTGTCCTGGTCCCCAGAGAGAAGAGAACAGGAATCATTTTACCTGCATGACTTAAAGTGACCCACTATCTAGATCAGCTTTATAAGGAGCAAAGTTCTGATAATTCAATCTTTATTGACTGGCAACCCTCAGCAACAAAGACATAGTACTCTACCACATCACAGAACTGTTGGTCAGGATTAATGGCTGGTCCCGACCTAAGCTGTATACAGCTGCATTCAATTAGTAAACAATCCAAAGATAGACACTGTATCTTATTCTCAACCTCAGCTAAGCACAAATACAGAGAACACAATTTATATTCTCTGGCTAAGACAGTGTGTTTAAAGTTCACAAGTCCTGTATTTACTCTGTATTTTTTTTACATTTGCTTATTTATTTTGTATACAAGGTATGTGTACACACATGCCACAAGGCACGTGTGGCGGTCAAAGGACAACTTGCTGGTGTCGGTGTGTTCCTTCAGCTATGAAAGATCTGGTCATCAGGCTTGGCCATCTCACTGCCCCAACATCCTATTTTCACCATCTGAAGAGGTGACCTAACTGAGCATATTATTTGTTTCTCTGTGAATTCAAGGCACTGGGAGTGAAATGTTCTAGCCAGTTTAACAAATACAACTTAATGAACACACATTAAGTATGACACTTTGCATACAGTGATACACCATTTAGTCCTCACTGCCACCATATGAAATATGTATTAGTAAATATTATGCTTCCAAATAAGAAAACTAAAGTTTCATAGGTACATGACAGCCTTAAAATGCAGTAACACTGGGCTCTAAACCATGCCATCAAAAACTGCAATGCTGCCTCCCTACTGACATTCAGGACAGAGGCGAATTTAGGTACTGGGGCATGTGATGACTCCTTCCCCTTTTGTTTCTACCAGCTTTTATTTTGGGTAAGTCCCGTAGGTTTAACTTTGGTAAAGAGGTGAGAACATAAACATGACCCTACAGACTTGCTGGCTGGCAAGTCAGGGGTCACATGGGAAGGAGGAAGTGCTGTGATCATCCGGTCCCTAGAACTAAGGCAGTTCTGTCCTGGAGGACATGGCAATGTCTTGTGCAAGTTTGGTTGTTACAACTGAAGAAGAAAGCAGTGGGTGGCATGGCGGTGGTGGCTCACACCTTTAATCCCAGCACACCAGGAGCAGAGACAGGTGGATCTCTGAGGTTGAGGCCAGCCTGGCCTACACAGTGAAATCCAGGACAGCCAGAGCTACATAGTGAGCCCGTATCAAACAACAACCAAAGAACACAGGGGATGGAGGCCAGACTTGCAACCTAATACCCTGAAATACCCAGGCCAGCTCCCACGGCAAAAAGTATTTGACCCTAAAGTCACTAGTTCCTCAAATCTGCTCTAGAGCCTACCAGCCTTACCATGACCTGCATTTTGCAGTAGCATCCAAAAGATGATGAGGATACCTTGGGGGTCTGGAGGGCCAGTCCCAAGATGATGAGGACACCTGATTTGAGGGCCAGTCCCTAAATGATGACACCTTGGAGGCCTGGGGGGGGGGCAGTCTCTAGATGATGTTCCAGTTCCACTGGTGCTACCTAAATTTAAAAGGTATTGAGAAATCTTCTTGTATGGCTGGGGATCAGGGAAAGAAATACTTCTGTGATTGCCTAGGCACAAGAAATATTCAACACAGTGGAGTTTCAAGGGTCACAGATACCAATGGACTCCATAGAATATGCAGTTACGATGAACATGTTATTTCATCTTTTAAAATATAACATTTTCTTTCTCCTTCTGGGATCAAATCTGAGGCTTCCAGCATTCTAACCCTGGTGCTCTACCACTGAGCTCTCTTCTGGAACAACTAGATTTGAGTAGTGTGCCCGTATATCTAACTGTGAAAACAAGAAATCCCTTACTTCCAATGAAATCTGTCTTTTCCCATTGCTTTGTGAAGCTGCCCACAAATCACAGAGCAGTTGACTACTGAAACCTGCCATGGTTGGTATCCTGTGACTCTAATAACCCAATCCTTAGCACTGCAGGTTCTCTCAAGTTTGGCAGTGCTTAAGAATAAATGTAAATATCCCTAATGTTCTTAGAAAGGGTCAATGAAGTATCTCTTATTTAAACAAATCTCATGCACATTTTTTCTTTTATGAAAACAGATTCTTTTCTCACACAATACATCCTGATTATAGTTTCCCTTCCCTCTTCTCCTCCCAGTTCCTCCCCACCTCCTCTTCTCCGGATCTACCCCCTTTCTGTTTCTCATTAGAAAAGAAGAGGCTTTAAAGAGATAACAACCAAAAAGAACAAAAGAAAATATAGGAAGATGAAGCAAAAACTACCATATCGAAGTTGGACATGGCAGTTCAAAAGGAGGAAAAGAGTCCAAGAGCAAGCACAAGAGTCAGAGGCCCATTCATTCTCACAGTCTGGAGTCCCATAAAACCCTCAGCCAATAGCTGCAGTATATACACAGAGGACCTGGTGTAGACCCATGTAGGCCCTGTGCTTGCTGCTTCAGTGTCTCTGCACCCAAGCACAACTTATTTTTAACTCTTATGTATGTGTGTTTATATATGTGTCCTTAAAATTAACTGCAGGAAATATTTCTTACCAACTTTTGGTCCACTATCTGCATTATTTTTCCACTTGGCACAAATGCGTTTACTAAATTCTTGAGAGTATTCACTATAATCCTCACCTGAAAAAAAAATAAGTAGAACACCAAAATTAAGTACTGAGATTTAAGATGAATATTGGTGTCATGAAAGCAAATGTAGACCTTCTGACTTATTCATAGATAACAAGCTGAGCAGTGGTGGTGCACTCCTTTAACCCAGCACTTGTGAGGCAGAGGCAGGCAGATCTCTCTGATTTGTAGGCCAGTCTGGTCTACCAGTTCCTGGACAGCCAGAACTGTTACACAGAGAAACGATGTCTTCAAAATCAAAAAACAAGCAAGATAACAAAACAGTTCAATTTGAAAGTATTTCGATGACTATATCAACAGTTTTCTCCTTAAAATAGCATTGCTTCTTAATCATTTAGTACAAAGGGAAGGAAAAACAAATTCTACCCCCCTCCAAAAGCACAAAATGCTACAGGGAAATGATGTATTTTCCTCTATCAATTATTATACATGGTAGAAGAGTATCAAAAATATACCTTTAAACTTATTTTTATTTATGTGTGTGAGTATTAACATTTATGTATGTGTCCCACATGTGTGACTGGTACCCAACAAGGTCAAGAGGGCATCAAAGTTCCTTGAAATAGAGTTCCAGGTGATTGTGAGCCTCACTATGGTGCTGATCCTGGGTACCCTTAAGTGCTCTCAATAGATAAGCCATCTTTCTAGCCCCTTTGGTAGTATTTTTGAGACAGTGTCTCATGATAGCCAAGACTGCCTAGGAACTCATTATGTGGACCAGGCTGGCCTCTATACTCCTAACACTTATCCCGCCATGGTCTCTTAACTCCTGGGATTATGGGTGTCGGCTTCCATACCCAACATATAAAGTAGTCTTAAAAAGCAGAATTATATTCCATAAAGTAAGAAAAGGAAGAGTTAAGACTTGTAACATACCATTGGTGCCTTCTGAGTCACTAATTCCTGCCATCTTTCGTAAGGTGGTAAATCAAGGTTTATGATGTGCCACGAAACTGCTCCTCTATAGCTGCAATGAGAGGGAACCATCTTGAAATGTGGAAACTGACTTTCAGGAGGGGTGTATGGAGCTGAAATGGTGGACTACACACATATCCATGGCAACAGTATAGAAGTGGGTTACTCAAGCAAAGCCTGCAAAGGAAGTTCAACTTGCACCCAGTGCCTCAGCGATTGCACATACAATCTCAAGTAGACTCAGCAATCATAGAAGAGAATTCTACACTGTGAACCAGACATAGCAATAATCCCAGTACTCAGAATGCTGGCCTATATTCTGAGCCCTGCCTCAAAGAATAAACCATACAAATAAACATGGAATGTTAATATGACTTGGGAATATGTGAATCAATTGTGGCTCAAAAATGACAATTTAAAACACTGCTGACAGAAAATGCCCACTTTTTTTTTTCCTAAAGATTTGTGACAATTTAGTCTAGTGCTGAACTACTAGACCCTTCTAGACACTAGGACACTTCACCACTTGGTTTCCCAGTCTGAAATGCTTGTCAGCCAGTCTAACACTATTGCCAAATTGGTGTCTCTCATGATGGCTTCAGTTTGTCACCTCATAAGGCCACAGTGGTAACAAACACAAGCTTCCCATGATTGACTCTTTGATTCTCCGTATGCCTATGGACTCCTCTTATCTGCCTGTAGCAAGTCAAATCCCAAGCACTAACCTGTCACATACATTCTCAATTCCCTACTCTTAACACACAGCCATCTCTGCTATGAGGATATAGTGATGTCCACCCCTTATTAATGGAGCTGGGTCACATTTCTGATGGACAAGTTTTACAATTACTTCCACTGCCACAGCAACTTCATTTTCTCATCCATTTGAGGAGCAGGGATTAAGACAAGGTCTCATGTAGCCCATGTTGGCCTTCATCTTACTATGTAGTTAAGGATTACCCTGAATTCGGGAACCTCCAATCCTTCTGGACCCACCCACCAAGGGTTGGGATCACAGGCATGTGCCACCATACTAGCTCTTCTCTAGTAATTTTAACAAATTGAAATAGCTTTCAAGGGTGTGACATCCAAGGATTTATCAGATTAAAGCTAAACCTAAAAGCATCCACCACTTGAGCCGTGTATTACTTTAAGAAGAGGGTAGGGTACATACTGGTATGTGTTGCAATGATACCAGGCTCTTAACAGATCATCTAGCCCATATACTTATAGCCAGACGTAGTTCATTTCCTGAAAGTCATTTACTGGACCTCTGTGTTTACTTTACTACCATGAATATCTGCTTCTCTAAATGATATTGCTGGGCTTGGGGCCCAGGTATATGTGTAAGGTTTTATGAAAGTGTTAGCCAGACCTGTCTTCTAACCTATGACTCCCTCTTCCTATTCTACCCCCCCCACTCAACCTTCCTATTCCCCCATGAACTACTCTCTCTTTCTCTTCTCCCCCTCTCTTCTTCCCAGCTCCCACTCCCTCCCCCACCCCTCGATTTTTTTTTATTACTTTAAAGACTGATCTGGCACCAGTGAGATCTCTAGTGATCTAAAGGGATGACACCAACTGGCAAGCTAATCAATAGTGGAGAGACCACCTTAAATGTCCAATCCTGATAATGAACTTGACGTCTACACTATATGCCATCCTAGAACCTTCATCCAGTGACTGATGGAAGCAGAGGCAAACACCCACAGTTAAATACTGAACTGAACCCATGGAACCCAGTGACAGAGAGAGAGGAACGATGAACAAATTGGCAAAGAATGGGCTGGCAAAACCAGCAGAGACAGCTGATCTGAACAAGGGGGGAGAGCTCTTGGACCCCAGACCGACAGCTGGGAGGCCAGCATGGGACTGATCCTGAACCCTGAGTGTGAGAGTCAGTGAGGAGGCCTGGGCAACCTTTGGGGCCCTGGCAGTAGATCAGTGTTTATCCCTGGCATACAAATGGACTTCATGTGTCCATAATACAAAGAGGGATGCTCTCTCAGCCTGGACTTTTAGGGGAGTCCCTGGACCCTGCCCTGAGTGAAATGACAGACTCTAGATATCCCCTATGTGGAAGGAAGTGGGGATAAGGTGGGAAGCTGGGGGAATGGTGGGGGGGTGCGGGAGGAAGGGAGGGAGAGGGAACTGGGATTGACATGTGAAGCAAGTTATTTAAAATTAAAGTAATAAAAAAAAGAAAGTGTTAGCCAGTACCCATTCATGTTGTGATATAAATGCAGGAGAAGTATATTCAGTTTTGGAAATATACATTTAAACAAAATTAAAATTCATTATTATTTATTAGTATTATTATTATGAATTAATTATAATTGTTTAAATGTATACTTATTATATGTATATATTTATGTATATTTATTGTGTACATATAAAATATATAATTGTTCTTTTCAAGTTCCTCAGTTCCTTAGAAGCTGACAACTACATGAATACTGTATACTTAAATCTTTGTGGGGAAACCCTTTTTCATTATAACAATTCTAATTTTCCTCTGCTTCTTCTTTTGACTAACCATGCTAAATTGTCTCCCAAGGTTTAGTAATCTATTACCCCATTTATAGGCTGATGGGACTATTTCCATGTCTGGATGCAGTAATGAAGTGTTGTGCTCCTGGGACTATCTGTGCACGTTGGTGGCTGGTGTCCTACCTGTGAATTCCAACCAGCTCTTCCCTTCTCAGCATCCAACAGAGCCAGCACATACCTAACATCTTCCGTAAGTTCCTGAGTCTTTGTCAGCTGAGTATTGGACATGTAGGCCCAAGCATTTGACAGTAGAAATGGAGAGGAAAGAAGCTCACTCTCAGAGAGGGCCAGCATTTGATAATGAAACCTCCACCAGTAGGAATTCTTGGAGAACTGGTTAATCTGATTAAGGAAGTTTTTTCACAATGAAAGCTTAATTTAAGCTTATATTTTATCTCACATCTCTCTATGATATTCTTGTACTTATACTGCAACTCATTTCCTACACACATAAAAAGTACGTACCCTAGGAAGGCAGTGAAGATCGCATGAAAGATGTAGAAAGCACTTAGTGTTCGTGATCAATAGATAATCTCCATAGTATGTTTTGCTACTTTACTACAATGAATGTAAATATGTCTATTTTTGAGACTCCGCATGTGCTATGCCCAGTCACTATATTATCAATCATAATAATAGCTGAACCCACCTGCCTTCCCAGGTGGCTTGCAAGCTAGTCCAAGTGACACAATGCATGCATATACAAATACGAGCAGGTGCAAAGCACCAGTGAGCAGCAGGAAAGAAATGCTTAATGGGATTCCAGTGGATGCAGGGTGATGTGGCTGCCAGTCAAGTCTCCCCATATCTGCATTGATGGGACAGGTCAGGCCAGACAGACAGGTGTCCTTTTCCTCCCTCAGATTTGCTGGTGTATCCCACCAAGATTCATGCACTTGATTGACAACGATGACCTCATAGGACTAGGAAGACACTTGTCAATTAAAGGTGCATGTCACCCTGTCTCCCAGCTGTCAAGAGCTATTGCTGTACAGTTCAGAAAAAAAAGGTGAAGAATAGGGCAGGAGACTTCATTGTTGGGGAATGGGATAGTGAAACTGGAAGAAACACAGCAGAATAGCAAGCAAAGAGAGAAAACACAACATATAGGGATGGACACACATACAAACACATTCACATGTGGTAACAAGTTGTGTTATGTCTACAGGAAAGGTTTACAGTTTGTAAGGAAATATATCCATATATATATGATACATTTAGAAGAAGGTAGATTCTTTTTAAAAAAGGCCTTTAGTATAGAAATTGCTTGCTCAATGTTCAGTGAATTGGGCAGCCAAGAGACACAATCAGGAGGGCAATGAAGGCAAAGATGGCATCAGTAGTGATGGAAAGGACCTTCACTGGACTGAGCTGAATGGCACTGGCTGGAGAATAGTACTGAAGCTGGTTACTCTTAAATCTTTCCATAAAGGAAAGACAACTGGGTTATCACAGTTCCTCTCAACCAACAGTAACTGATAGTCAATCAGTGCTAATTACCTTAGTGTATTTTTCTACTTTACTATAAACAGTATCATTTCATCCTTTGTAACCTGGTATTCCCTATGCCAAGACCATTCCAGAATCATGCCGCCTGTGCCCACATGGCTCTCAGGTCATTTGTAATTTAATCCAGAACACATAGAGGGACAAACGACACAACAGATACTAAGGACTCAATGAGCAACAGAAATGCTTCAGAGGGTGGACACAGGGTGACACTCCAGTGTTACTCAGAACACACAGACTAGGAAAGGGGCTGGTTAGGCCATGTAGTGTTACAAAAACTCGAAGTCTCGATTGTACTCTGCTTCCACCAACAGTGACTTGCCTCGGCAGAGGACAAGGGACAAAGATGACCATCTCTACACCCCTCCTTCACCCTGCATTCTGTTCCCCGTGCCCCTCGGCTATACTTGCATGCTTCTCAGGCTTACTTCATCTCTAAGATTTGGAAAGACAAAAATGTGAACGAAAAACAATGTTAGACTAAAATAAAACATGGCTTCAGTCCTTGTCATATGGATTTTGATCTTGTTTTACCTGAAAGCTTTATCAAATCAGGATTTGTTTCTAGACACTTTCATATACGGATTCCTTATACATTCCACTGCAGTCTGAGGGCTTACACCCAGGCACTACAAAGTGTTGGAGCTCAGGAGGGATACATGCCTCCATTGTCACAGAGCAGAAAAATGCTTGCTAGGAGATAGAGTAGCTTGGTGATGGGTAGGAACCCTTTCTTTTCCTATTAGTTTCATGGGCAGGAAATGGACGTTTTAATCAGATTACCTTCTTACCTGCCTAAGTCATACACATAAGGAAGCCAAACCTTGTCTCCAGGTGGAAGACTTGGCTTAAGTTCCATTTATTGCTGTTACTTCTAGGCGATCATTACAGGATCTGTGCACAGGACAATGATTTGATCAGCTGAGGTCACTTACGTTGGTCCAGAAGGAGGATAAGTTGATTTTCTGCAATCTTCTGTCCACTAAAAAACAAAGAAAAATGAACATTTCAGAAAATTACAAATGCTTGTCATTGAAGCAACCTTTTAAAAACCATTATTTATTAAGACAAAAGCATCCTTTTAAGGCATGTCACTGTCTTTGTTTGAGATAGAAGTTCCCTGTCTCAGGCTGGCTTCAAATTTAGTATTAAATAGCACACTCATCCTTACCTCAAACTCATAATCCTCCTGCCTCAGCTGCCTGAGCACTGAGATTATAGGTATGTGCAACAGTTGGAATTCAATACCTTTTTAAAATATTCATATTTTTATGTGCACGTCCTGAATGTCTGGTACTTGAGGAGACCAGATAAAGGTATTGGAAAGCCCTGGAGCTACAAGTGTTGTGAGTTACCTCACAGTGGTGGGAACTGAACCCAGATCCTCTGTGACAACAATATATACTCGTAACTTCTGTGATATCTTCCCAGTACCAGCATTCAATAACTTTAAAGATAAAAGTCTTGCCTCCCAAATCCCCAAACAATTTCACTTCAGTTTACACACAGACTAGGCATTATAATTTGGCTTTTAAAAATGATTATATTGAGTAAAGAAATGTATAAAGATGGATGGAAAATATTTCTATGAGATTGGGTAGTATGTCAATGGCTTAATAGGATGTAGCTTTACCTCAATTTTTGAGGCAACTCTATTGCATCCTGACCTAGGATTTGCATCTCAAACCAGATTTGCAGGGCAAATGCATAAGGTACTTAATAATCTGGCCATAGCCTATCATCGTAGTCTTGTTCTGGACACGCCTCCTAATACCATGGCTACACACAAACACTTCTTAAGCCTCCCCCGCTTCCATCCTGTGCATGTGCTGTGTCCTCTGCCCAGATGTCTACTCTCTGACCTGGGGAACTTGTAGGTCTAACTTCTAAAATCCAATCCAGACACGTACTTCTCTTCCCACTTCTCCACCACCCCTCTCCGTGAAGTCTCATCTACCTCTTGTATAAACAGTCATCTCCTATATATTTCTGCATTTGTACACATCTCCATTACAATACCACATTGTACTATAATTGTCTTCTCAATGCCATACTGTGTTCCCAGATAGGAGGGCGGGCAGCCCCAACACTGAGGTCACTACTGGAGGCAATGAGTCAATGAGATTGCTTCAGGGATAACTGTTCACATTTAGTGGCAAAACTGAATTTTCTCCTAACACAAAATCAGGCAAGAGATATGCCTATAGATTTATGCCTCTTGTTACTTTTTCCAGGTAGCAAGTATGTTCATCTCGCCTCTAGTGACCTAATACTGTGAAAGTAAACTAAAAAGCACAAATCTGTAATAAGAGGGGGTAGAGTAGGGGAGGAAACTACTGAAATTATAGGTGGTGCTCAGACTACCTGCTGAACTCTTATGCAGGAATGGAAATCTCAAAATTAATTTTTGATAACATGGTGAGCATGTAGAGCTATTTCACTCTTGCCAAAATGCCTTTACCATAGGATAGGTTTCTTGTTTAAGCATGATTTCAGTGAAAGCTTTTAGATACAATATTAAGTCTGTAGCAAAAAGTCGTTTGTGCTAAACAATACCAATTGTAAAAAGTTCTTGCTCAAAAATGCTTCAACCTCAGCTTGGACCTCAAAAAAACAAAATCAAAAACAAACAAACAAAACAGTACAGAGATTTAGTGTTACGCAGCTGTTAGGTTTGGTTATATTGAAATGTCAGGCTTTCTGCTTGCTTCCGTTTCTAGCAAAAGTTCACTGAAACTCTGATAACTACGTCGAGGTGAAGTTCAGTCTACAGTGCTGACAATGAAAACTGCAAGTAATAACTACAACTTTTGTTAAATACAGTGTAGTTTGTTTGAAAAAGGATCTTACTATGTAGACATAGCTAGCCTGTTTCTCACTGTGTAGACCAGCGTAGTCTTGAACTCATGGAGCTTACTTTATCTCTGCCTACTAAATGCTGCATTTTTAAAAAAGTTTTATAAGTTTTCTTAAATAAACTTTTTGCTCAGATCTTTTTAAAATTGCCTTTTACATTTATTTATTGTTAGTGTGTATGTTAGGAACATATAAAATGGCAATTAGAAATAAATGGTGCAAATATTAACATGGTAATAATTACAAAAGGAATTCAGTAGATTTTGGGAAGAATAGATAAAAATATATGTTAAGAAAACAAACCAGGAACTTCAAAACACAGAGCAGGATACAGAGATGACATTAGCTTGGGTTCTTCTAGCAGAAAAAAAAGGAAGAAAGCAATTATAAACTCCAGGGGATAGGCTTACAAAGGTGAGGCACAAAATACACATGACTAAGACTCGAGTGTTGCTGGGGACACAGAGCAGTGGTAGCAGCATGCTTCTTCAGCATGCATTGAACTCTGGATTCAACACCAATAATGCCACAAACAAGCAAAGTTGAATGATTTTTTGACAATTGGTAGAGGACTTCAGAACTACAGGAAAATAAATAAAATCAAAGCCAAGGCAATAAGGCAAAAAAAAATGAAATAGACAGCATCTGAAATGAACAAGAGGTGATATTTAATACAAAACTCTGAAGGGAGCTATTAAAAACTTACTAGTGCAAGTCTGCAAAACACCAGATCAATGTACCAAATCAGCAATCACATATCTATATAATGAAAAACTAAAATAAAGGAAAACAGTCCCATTTATAAAAGCATCCAAGGAATACCTATGGACAAAGTAAACACGTACAATCACACTCCATTACTCCACAGGCTGAGGCAGGAGGATCATAAACTCAAGCCAGGGAGACTGTCTCAAACACAAAAACAAACAAGTATTTAGAAATAAACTTCACCAACGAAATTCAAAACTTGTCCACCTGAAACTACAAAACACTAACCGACAAAATTAAAGATAACATGGGTAATCATAAGCTATCCTGTTCATGGGGTGGAAGATTTAATTATCAACATGGCCAGATTCCTAAAATTAACCCACAGGTTTCAGCATTATGAGTGGCTGAAATCTTGGGAAAGATCAAAGGTGGATGACTCAGTCTTACCTATAAGAAATGGGACTGTGTAGAAAAGGAAGGGGTCTGCAGGAAGAGGGGAACAAGACAAGATAGAAGATGGAAGAGAAAAGAGAAAGGTAGATCTGTGTTCCCACTGAACCTCATTCTCATTTACACACACACACACACACACACACACACATACACACACGCAAACACGTGCGCTCGTACGCACACACAACATGATAGCAGACAGGGACAGTTTGGGGGCTCAGAGGGACCAGTGGGAGGGAAAAGGGGACCAAGGGAAGGTGCTGGGGTACAAATAAGAGAAAAGAGCAATGCTACACATGTATGAAAATGTCATAAGAAACCTATTGCTTTATGGTTGCTAAAATATTAAGTTACAATTTTACTATGATAGTAAATTACTATATGAGATCCTATGTTTAAATGAGAAAGTGGAAATCTTATGGTGATATAGTAACAATAAGTCTAGAACACAATGGCAGACAGTGAGTGCTTTCATGAGTATAAATACATAAAACAATGGAATAGAACCAAGAGTTCAGAAATAAATCCACATTTACAACTTTGTGTATCGTATATCTGACAATATACATCTATAACACATTAAAAAACTTACAACTCAGTAGTAAAAGCTTAATTTTTAAAACAGACAAAAGATCCAAGTAGACATTTTTCCAGGAGATATGCAAATAACCCATAAGCACAGAAAAGACGCCCAGCATCACCGCCTACTCTGATGAGACACGGTAACAGCCAACGTTGCTAAGGGCATGAAGAAACTGGGATCACTCATACTGACAGCAAGATACAAAACAGCAGCTGCTTTACAGAATCATCTGGCAGCTCTTCAGACAGGTAAACAGTGACATAAAACCCAGCCACCCTGATCCCATATATATCCTAGGAGATAGGAAGACAGAAACACCCACAAAAACATGTTTTCGATATTTATAGCAATGTTACTCATACTAGCCAAAAAGTGGGAGAGCCCACTGTCCACCAACTACATGATGGATAAACAAAACGAGGTATGTCTTGGGATGGAGAACTGATACACGCTACAAGAGGGATGAGCCATAAAACAACGATACTATATAGAAAATGCCAGTCACAAAGGGCCATACACTGTATAGTCCCCTCTGAAATACTCAGAACAGGCGAATCTTTAGAGAGGTTCTATTAGTGGTTGCTTAGGGCTGGGAGTTGGGAGTAAACTGTCTTAAACTAGATGGCAGTGATGACTGTACAATTCTGTGACCATGCTGACGCTATTTTAGTGTGTGTGTGTGTGTGTGTGTGATATATGCATGAGCATCTGTGAATGTGTACACACACACACACACTGTGAAGGCCAGAAGAGGACACTATGTGTCTTGCTCTATCATCCTCTGCCTTATTCTTTTGAGAAAAGGTCTTTAATGAACACGGTTAGCCATCCCCAACAATTCTCCTGTCACCACCCTGGTTGGATTGTGGGTGCACATGGTCACACCTGGCTTTTTTTTTTTTTACATGGGTGCTCGGGATCTGACTTCTAGTCTTCATGCTTTTACAATGAGTTTTGTTACCCAAAGAGCTATTTCCCCACCTTCTCTAATTGTATATTTTTGTTATTTTTAGAAATATTTTTTCTTTTTTCTATTTTTCATGTGTGTGGTATGTGCTTGTGTGTGAGGATGGTACACGTGGAGATCTGAGGCAGCTATCTGGGATCACATTCATTCTTCTACCTATTAACTGAGGCAGGGCTGTCAATCAAACTCAGAGCTCACAGACACAGCTAATCTTGCTAGCCAGCTTGTTCCCAGAATCCGTTATCTGATTGGGGGAGGGGGTCCTTCTGTATGCTGTGAATATATGTTCCCTTATTAGTTTATGAATAAAGCTGTTTCGGCCATTGGACATGCAAGACACAGCCAGGCAGGAAGTATAGGCAGGGCTAGCAGATTAGGAGAATTCTGGGAGGAGGAACACAAAGGGTGAGTC